ATGAACATAATTAGAAGTTCTAAATATATTTTATTGTAATTATAATAGAAGTTGATAATGATATAATATTGATTTAAATTAATCAAATAAAGTGGATTTATACTTTATGAACTTTGGAAATATAAAATCTAGTGAGCAATACTAAATAATGGTAAGCAGATATTTTCTTTAATTATTTACTAAGTCAATATACTAGAGAAGTTATTATAATATTGTTAATGAATGAGAAGTTTGAATTCAAGTCCCTTGGGAGTTACTGACATTGTTTGGTTATTAAAAACTTTAATTGACAATAAGCAGCAAAGTGACAAATTAAGTATATTTTTAAGTTTAGAATTAAGTAAAGAGTAAATTAAAGTTACCTATTGAACAAACCTTGGACCGATCTTAGTTTAGTTTGTCAGTTTTCTATTTGATCAAAGTACTAACTAAAATATTTTCTTTTCAGAAAAAGAGAAGCTAATAAGACAACTAAAAATATTAAAAAAACCACAAATGGACAAGTTTTATTAAAGTCTTATCTTTTAATTAATTTAAGTGTTATATTATGTACCAGAAAATGGGGAATGAAGCATTTTATGAATAATGTAAAAAAATAAGACAAGTGGAGTATGAAATAATGGTTGGTTAAGTAACATTACCTCATGAACAGGAAACAGTAACTGAAACTATGTTCTTCCACATTTAATCTTAATAAATTCAGCAGTTTGAATGTTAATGAGATATTATTATAAACAAACTGGATTTGTAGATTTTGGGAAGAATTATATCTTTAAAATAACAATTATTATTTACAATTGTTGTGTTAAGGAAACAATCACTGTTTTTTTAATCGCCCAGGATGTATTCATAGTAACTGTAGGTATCATAGTAATTTTATGAAATCATCACAACATCTAACGTTAGGTTTTATGAATTGAAAATTTTTTTGTATATAACAGCACACAAATAAGATATTGACTTTGCTGCAAATTAACACTTACATTTATTAGTTAATTATCTACATATATAAATATGAATAATTGAATACATCTACATTAGGTAGTAATGCATTGAATTTGGTGCACCTGTGTGTGTTCAGTAGTAATGTCTGTATTGTTTAACAAGTTGTTATATATGCTTATTTTTCTATGTAGACTGCATTATGTTAAGGAAGATATTTGGTGCCTTATTTTAATAAAAAATAACCATAACTGGAACATTTTTATTTTGCTACCTATTTGTTTAATATTTCTAACTATTAGTAGGTACGGGTCATTCATATATGCATTATCTGTATATTCTTGTAAAAGAAACTTATATTGTTAACCACTTTAATGGTTTTTCTTACTAAAGAAGACATAGGTAAATTACCAAAAATAAAACTGACAAATACATAACATGCAATGTTTATTCATTTCTTACTTAAACAGATTTGGCATTTACATATTAACTAGTAGCAAATCACTGATATAACCAAAACTTAATTGACATAAATATTAACTTAAAATCAGCATCAAACTTAAATTTATATCTAAGATGTTGGAGCATCAATATGGAATCAAAGGTTGAGTAAGGCTTATAATTTCATACCAGACTAAGTTTCTATTTTATAATTTTTATTAATCCCTCTTTTCATTTCATTGAGTACTTGCTGCTTTTCAATTCTCACTTTCTAAAAGTATACATTTATTATAAACAATCAACCTTTATGACTCTAACTTAAACTAAAATTGTTTGTTGGACATAAACAGAGATAATTCCAACTAGTAGCAAATCACTAATAAAATCTACACTTATATATAAATCTGCTTTCAAATTGACATTAAAAATGTTCAAGCACAAACACCAAACCTAATTAAAGCTTAAATCAAACTCTAATTTCAGTGTTCACACTAGTCTACGTTTTTTTCTATTATTTTTAATTTCTTGGACTATCCTTCTATTCCTTATCAACTTCTAGTCAACCTTATTTTCACTCTTTATTTATCAATCCACAGTACTATTTCTATTGTTTCTTCTAAGCGGTAACAAAATATGTTGCTTCTTCATTTTGCAGATTAGTTGTGAGGTCAAATCCTAAAAATATCAAAGTATGAGTACTACTAATTATTATATATCGCGATTATGCAATTTCAAAATATTGTATTTATTTGTAGCCTTAAATTTCTGAGAAAACATGAAACAAACCATAAGTAATTTAAACATGCAATTAAAATTCATATATTCACTTTACACCTTCAGTAAATTCCACTTAAATTGAAAATTGTTCCGACCTTACTGACATTCTAATGTCCCTTTTGCAGCTTCAATAATTGGAATTTGCAATTATTGCAAATTAACAATAAAATTGTAGTTTTAACTTTTATTTGTTTATAAAAGTGACATTAGGAATACATTTAATCCAGAGACAATATGACGGAATAAGGTGCTACGAACAGCAGCTCGCATCTACGCTGTCGACTTTGCGGTAATGTATCGACATGCCTCTTGGCTACGAACGAAGCGTTTTCGACAGTACAATTACGCAAAAGCGGTAGTGTATGTAGAATACTTTTCGACACCAATATGGCTAGACCCCCAGTAGGCAGTAACCAGCGCTACTAGCGGCAAAGTTTGGCAGTTTTCTTCCTCGTTTATACTAGAGTAGGCAGACTGTCTCTCATGTATCTGTGGTAAGTATCGTGTTTCATCCACAGATTAAAGTTAAACTTTAAAGTATAGTGTTTTTTTTTTGGAGTTTATGGCCTGGTATCTAGACCTTTAGGTAAAAAGTATAAAGTGTTATCTTTATAGAGTCTAGCTAATGAAAGGAGATAACGAAAAAGCGCGGCAAATTAAAAAAAAAATATTGTATGGTATCCCTAAAAGTTTGATATATTTTGTGGATTAAACTTACATGATACTTGATTTTATTTTATTATTTTCACATTGATAGTAACTGTATTTCTATGAAATTAAATACTATACGTATTTAGTCTTTTACTATTGATACTTAAAATGACTAGCATTGCATGGAAATTTTTTAATATTTATTATAAAACACAACTTTATTTCGAATAATCAAAATCAGAATCCAAAAAATCAATAAAACAAAGTGGCTATTATAGCTGTTAACTATTCGGAAAAAATATATTTATAATAGAAATAAAAATGAGTAATTGCATCTTCATTGATACTTCTATCAAGACAATCGAATATCTATAAACTTGTGGTAAACCTAAAATGAATGCATAATAATTAGTGCTTATTACATACCTAAGTACCTATACCATATACAATATACATTTAAAAGTAGTTTATGCAAACCAGTAAAAGATCGTACGCCTTCATAATCGGATTCAATAAAATATTCTGAACATAACATAGCTTTGAAGTTGTCTTTTGAGAGCTTTTTCCCAGAGTCTTCTTATGCGTAAATCCTTAGGAAAACTGTGATTGCCATTATTATTACAACCGATGGCTGCGAAACGAGGTATTTTTGGAGAAACTTGTTTTATAATTATGAAGTATGGGATTTGACGTTTGTTTACATTTGAAGGGTACAGGGAAAGAAAGATCACTGTCAAGAAAACATATTTTTGAGATAATAACAAAAAACATATTTACTCTTGAAATCAATTTATTAAACTACAACTAAAGTACACACTTTTATATAGGACATGTAGGCCAATGATTAACATTATAAAACACATTATTAAATGTTTTTTTTATGACAAATTTAAAAAAACTTATATCTTTAATTAAATTACTTATAACAAAGATCAAAGTCACTTGACTATGATCCTTTTTACATGGTCAATTTTTATGAATTTTTCACTAAATTTACAGCTTAATACATATTCTGAATGACATGTTTTTTTATTATTTTAATTATTTAGTTTTAATATATACCTGTTTTAACTTAACAAAACAAACTTCATAGAAGGATCATAGTCACATTGACTCTGACCTTTCTAGAAACATTACAGCTATGTAGAAATTCCTAACTTAACTTTTGTCATTTTTATATTATTACTTATTTTTAGTATATTTACATTACACAATGCTAATTGGCAGTGATAATAAATTAATGAGTTTTAGGCAAATTTGAATAAAAATCTTGAGCTTCAGGTTTAACACAAAATCTTTTTAAGCATTGTATGTCATTAAATTTTTCTTTTGAAATAGGTATTGGCGACAAATAAAGTTTTTTAATGTTACCGATGTCCGGCACTGATGTCGGATTTCTTTTGACACAAATATAGGAATCATATCTACCACTGTACTGATCAGATTTGATCAAGATTTGTTTTGGGGCTTTTTTTGTTATTGTGAGCTGTCGCACCGGACGTGATGCAAATGGGCACTTTGTCACAAAATATTCTTTGAAAAACTGTGAATAATTTTCGAGCATGAATAATTGGCAGTCGATAACTTTAAATAGTTCTGGAAACCTGCGAGCTTCTGCGATGACAGACACCCAGTCAGATGGCAACTCCCAAGGAGATTTTTGTTTAATTAGGCCCATGTTTTTGTCACATTCAGGAATTGTAGGAATTGTAGGAATCGAACAGGGAATATTATGGAGATTTTATTAATCTTTTTGTTATGTGAACCAAATAATATAAATATCTGAACATTGTGTAGTTCTTATTCTGGCCACTGCAAAAAAAGATCAGTGTCCATAGACAATGATCTTTTTTGTAACAAGAGAGGTGACTGTGATCTTTTTTTCCTACAGCCATAGTAAACTTTTTGAGCCTCATGTTGACTGTGATTTCTTTTTACATTTTTTGATTTCACCATTCAATAGTTCAATTTCTTAATTTACTACTAGATGGCATTGTCAACTCTGGTTTGGAAAAATACTGACTATGATCCTTCTTTCCCTGTGGCCTGTACCCTTCATTTGTTATGAGACATGAGTCAAGCGATGACAGCGACTTGCATTTTCTCCTCCATTACCAGGCCATAAACTCCAAAAAAAAGGAATAATCAGTTAACAAAATATAAACGAGCAAAGTATTGTAAAATTAGTAATGCTCGTTAATTTAAGGAAGAAGCATATATTAGCTCTATATTTCACTATTTTAAGGCCCTGCATAACTTTGGCTCAGAATATGTCTTCTGGTTGTGTCGATACCGGTATGTTTTTGATACTTTAAAACTACCCTAATACCAAATATTAAGAAAATATGTTTATTATGTATTATAAACAATTACCTGAAATGTTCTAATCCAATAACACAACACTTCTAAATATAAACACTTAGTTTTTATTTGAAGTAGGATCTCGTACCGTAACGAGTGAGACTACTATGAAGGTATATAAATATATTGGTAATGGTAGTACACAATAATGATCGCACCTACTTAACTGCACTGGTGATTTTTAAAATGTAACTCTCAGGAAATTTTTAGCAGCAGAATAATATATAGTATTCATCAATAAAGTATTTGTGTTTCATTTACAATAAACTGTTTTAGATAAGTACTCCATAGCATATGTAACGGTTCCAAATACTGATGTTGGGAAAACTATAGGACATGGGCTTGTTAAAAATAAATTAGCAGCATGTGTTAATATTATACCACAAATCACATCTATTTATGAATGGAAAAATGAAATAAATGAAGATAATGAGGTACCATCATTTAGTTTTTAATAATTACTAATGTAATTTCTGTTAGAAACTATAATGGTCTATTATACATCCCGTGTCCCATCAAAACATAAAGGTATGTTTAATAGGAATATATTTGGACTTGTTACCTGTTTCAAGTGTTCAGGCCATTTCAAATACTTTAAGATACAATCATTATAGTAATTTTACTAAACTGTCTGCAATTATAAGTTATTTGAAAGGAATATAAAAATAAGTTTGAATAAGGTATAATTAAACAGATATAAACAAAAGGTGCACCCCAACTTATTTTTTAATAATTAATAGACAAATATTATCCTGTACCAACATAACACATACAGGTTAAACTGAAAACTACTTTTTTGTTTTGTAAGTCTAAAAATAATTGTATAATGTATAATAATGTAATAAATAATGTATAATGTGGAAACATCTTAGACTACACTATTGAGAGTGACTGTTTATGTTTGTTTTTTTTTTGTAATATTACATAGTATTCTGGGTAAATAATAAATACTAATCTGGGTCTTGGCCTCAGATTGCATTTGTTGCTTTAATCAATTTTACGCCATTACCACGGCCAGCACCGCTATACAGCTAAATAATTATGTATCTCATATTAAACAATGAAACAATTACACAAATGTGTCTACATCATATAATTTAACATTAAAATATCCTTTAATTTGGTACCTATCAAGTAATAATTTGTTCAAACATTTGTTTCAGGCATTACTAATGATTAAAACACGAACATCGCTTGTGGATCAGTTAACAGACTTTGTTCGGTCAAATCATCCATATGAGGTTTGTGAAGTTATTTCATTGCCTATAAAAAATGGAAACCCTCCCAACAAAAAAAGGAGGGAAAAAAAAGCGCGAAAAAAAAAAAAAAATTATTAGCAACTCTAGGTTTTAGTGACTATTACACAGATTATAAGTGGCGGGGTTTCTTTGGGTTTGTTTAAGTTTTGGTTTTTTTTTGATATGAGGTTCATTTAGTTTAAGCTCAAACTCAAACTCAACTCAAAATATCTTTATTGTAGGACCAGTCACTTTTGGATCGTAGAAATAACAGTTGCCAGAAAAGAACTACAATATAATATTATTAAGTGTTTAAGGTAATACATATTTCAAATTTATAAGGTTGTTACGTTTACGAGGGCTATTTTTTTTTGTGAAAAATTTCTAATTTCGCTTGGGGGCTTGTTGTAAAAACGAACACAGATTTCCATATAAGAGTGGCTGTGATTTGCCCCGCCGGTCCCCCACTCATTGCTCTTTGTTGTATATGGTGAAAGTCACCATTGTTTAATCGTTTATTTTTGACATACAAAAGCTTTAAGAATATATTGTAAACTTTTCCGTCCACTGGGGGGGGGGGAAAAAAAAAAAAAAACCCGGGAAGCCCCCCCCCCGGGGCAAAAAAAGGGGGGGAAAGCTTAGTAATTTCGTCTTGTTCAAGCAGATATCGCCGTTATTGAGAAAATGCTAGATTTAAATGCCACAACACTTATGTGTTGTTTAATGGTTATCCATTCAAATGAATTTAGTAAGTATTGGTCGTTTCTGACTTTTACAATTGAAATGGATATTCAAATTTGGTAAATAAATGAGTTGAATTTAGCTTGATGACTGTCGGGTTTGTTCGAACACTTATAACCCGAGAACGGCTTAATCGATTTTCATGCATTTCGATTCGTTGTATTTATCTCCATGCCGAATAGCAGAATATGTAAAATATTGGAAAATTAACGAAAAAAAGACCAAAACAAAATGAAAACCCATGATGAACTGTTTCGTAACTGCCAAACATTTAATATTCGATGCGTTACGATACGTTAAACTCTTTTCTCAGATTAAAGAACGTTTCTGTAAATAAAGTTTACGAAGAATCGGTAGTCGGTAACATGACGTTCATTGACTGTTAGGCTATTATATATAAAGCTATACATTTTCTTCTTATTAAATAAAGATTTGATCACTTATGCAAATATAATTATACTGTTTATAGATGATTTTGTAGAAAGTATGTACTAATTATTTTATGTACTTTAAAATTAACCAAATAAATTTGATTCTAACAAATAATGTAATTTTATTATTTATAAATTTAATAAAATTATTGTTTGTATTTTAGAAAAAAAAACTTATATCATTGGTGTCCTGTTTTTATTTACAAAACATATTTGTAGAAAAACCGCTTGTAATTATGTTAATTTTAACTTAAGGTTACACGGTACAGTTAAACAAAAATATTAAAATTACAAAAACCAAACGAAAATCAATTTTAAAGTGTGAGGAGAGCAACTATGGATATCCAGACCTAGCTCGTTTATCAGAATGCCAATCTGAACATCGGTGGGCTTTGACCAAAATGCGTTCTTCGGGAAGGACAAATAGAATGTTGGGATGCCTGTGAATCTAGAGGGTACACAAAATTTAAATTTTGATAAAAGTTTGGGGTAATCAACCTGATTGTTAAATATCTTAAATGCAAACCATACATCAATTAATTTTATATGATTTTCCAATGACACAACTGTTGAACAGTATATATAATTCCAGAGTCATAGTTAAATGTGGACTTTATCACGACTAGTAAGACGTTGCGTGCATAACATTCGAATTTATATTTCTTGGTGTTATGTTTCCTGTATGTGGCAAGGCCCCTCATGAATGAATAAAGAATATAATTTAGATTGGCAGAACAATACTGGTATTTTATTTATCTGAGACTTTTTTTACTTTTCAATTCTGTCCGTCGACATGATGTAAAAAGACGTGTTTTTTAAACCGCTAAAAAATTGCTTCATACATAATCCAAAAAATGATTGGAAAAAGAATTGCAACTTTTATACATAGTTGTAATTCTTGTTCGTCAATCGTTTATATTTAAAAATAATTCTTATAAAAAATATTTAGTTAAAACCTACGAATAAAAAAAATATTTTTTTACATAATGAGACACATTATAAAAAGTAAAAAAAACACGCTATTACGTTAATGTCGCATCACAAATACCTACAGAAAGAAATTCCACGTTTCAAACTAATAACAATGGAAATGGGAGCTGGAAAACAAAGGCTTTTGCTGCGTCCTTACAAAACGACACGTTCTCACAATCGTAGCTGTTTCCTAAACGTCTACGAGTTTCGTAGCACAAAGCGCCACATAGAGGGCGTAGTACTCCATTCAACTAGGAAACATAGACATCCCGCCCACAAAGTAAACCTTCCACTTAATCGCCTCGGCCCGCATGTGGCAACTGGCAACTCAGTTCGCTGACAGCCTTTGAACGAACGCGCAGTCACTACAAGTTTGACCTAGGCGAGGATATTACACATTGGAACGCGAAATAAAATCCCGTTTCATTAAAGCAAAGAAAAATTAAGTGCCAGCGGTGTTACCGACCTATATTTTGAATTAGAACGAGAAGCGAAAACACAGCAGGATAGCAGCGTTCGCAGAATAAAGGGAGATTGATCGAACGTGACGCAAGTTGGAACAGTGGCATTCAAGGTGTTTATCGAAAACGGGGTGGGTAGGGGTCGCAGCGTGACGATTTCGGGAGAGAAGATAAGCTCGGGTCGCGGGTCGCGGGTCAGCATGAGCGGACGGTAGCGGGCGCGCAGGCGCGGATCGATCGCGCGGCATCGAGCGGCAGCGCGGCGAACACTCGCCCTCGGCCTCGCTCGACGTTCGGTCGTGCGCGGGCTGACGTGCGAGCGCGCGCGCCTCAGCACGTGCATGGCGCGCCTGCCTGGATGCCTCGCGCCCTCGGGGAATGGCTTCGTCCGAGGAAGAGGCGACAACCGCGCCGATACCTGAAGACGACGACTGCCTCAGTGTCCGAAAATGGTGGTGCTTTCTCCTATCTTCTATCGTCACGTTCATAGCGGGCCTACTGGTGGTGCTGCTATGTCGGTTGTGCGCCTTCGTATGCTGCCGCCGGGAGCCGGAGCTGTCTCCCAACGATCCGAAGCTGAAGGAGCAGAAGGCGGCCCGCCAGGGAAAACAGGAGTTCGAAGGGACTTTTATGACCGAGGCCAAGGATTGGGCAGGCGAACTTATTTCCGGCCAAACGACCACTGGACGTATACTGGTAAATACATTTTCAATATATTATTATTTATTAACCGCGGATAAAAAGCGCGAAAAGTGATTTACATTTTCCGCGACTAAGAATACAGTGTTTCTTCATATTAAATTTCTCCCAAAGTTTTACATTTAATTACATTGAAACATTAGGTATGTAGCTACCTGGTATTGATTAGCCTTAAATTAAACAATGTACAATTTGGGATATCATATTATTGTTTGACTGCTAATAAATATTAACAACCATATTCATTTACAAAGTTAATTAATACTAAAGCGTAGTATAATATTGGATAAATTCAAGTTTTAAATATCACATATATTTTATTAATATACTTAGGTAACGAACAAGATGTTTGTCGAAAAATAATTAATAAAACTTTTGGCAATACACGTGCAATTGACTACTTATGTAAGTACTATGTTAGCTGTGAATTGATTTAATTGACCTATTAATAGGGGCGCCTATTGCTAACTTATCTAGCGAAGCCAGGAATTATGTATCGTCCGTGACGTCATCATTTAATAGTGACGCAAGCGCGAACTCTTTATTTATTATGTACGAGATAGCTTTTATTTATATACCATCCAGGCTAAGGTAGAATTATGATGCAGGCATTTAATTAACTGAAAGCACTTTATAGATATCTCATTACCGTATCTTTAGAAGCATGAATAATTAAATGCAATGAATAAAATCCGGTTCGTTAGACTCTCTGAATCATTGAATACTCAGATTGTCTTGTCTTAAATGACGTCAGTTTTTAATATTTAATAGTTACCAAATTGAATAACTGCGGTCGCCTGCGATCTATCGAACGCTAACCAAATAAGAATTCCTGACAGTCAGTATGTGACGAGCAATGGACCCTGACCTAATTTCGTTATCGATAGGCCTTAGTTCAACGTTTCATTTTACTTTCTACTCTCAAACGCTTTCAGTCCCTTCAGGGCGCCTAATCATGAAAGCTTAAGTGTGTGACATATTTGGTGTCTTTGTGGTGTGGCATTAAAAATATTTTTACTGGAAGTAACTTATGAAAGGGCGCCTATTTATAAAGGGTATGACTTATATATATTTGTAAAATATACTACAAAATATACCAAGCTGTAACCTAATTATCAATTTGAAATACTTGTTCCTCAGACATTACTATATTTTCTTAATAATCTGTTACCAAGGAATCACCTAAATCGATCCGGCATAAAATGTAGGTCAGTTTTCATGCAACACAAAAATTTCATTCAGTGAAAATAATTAAAAGTAGAGGCATACATTTCAGTAATGATTGCAAGTTGCAAAGAGACGCGTTATATTTTGCTCTTTTAAGTGTGAACTTTCGACATTTTATTTATTGTGAATGTCATTTTCTACGACCCATGATTTTTCCTTAATAACTTAATATCACTAAAAAACAAATTTTTAATTATTTTTCATAGCATCGCACCATTTTTGGAGCTTTCCTTTAAAGCATAGAAATACGCGTTAAAAAGTTCACGACTCACGATGTATCGATCTTCGTTACGAAAACTGCTTTCATCGTTTTTATTACTGCACCAAAGGATACCCAAGAAAAGTAAGACAAATTTCAGGTCGCGAAACCGTACTTACGTAATTTAATGATAACGTAAACTAGATAAGAATAGTTCGGCAAATCAACGTGTAATGTATATAATACTAGCGACCCGCCCCTGCTTCGCACGGGTGCAATGCTGATACTAAATACAGTACAGAAAAACTGTGAACGTTTTCAAAGAAAAATGTTGAAAAATTTTTATTGTGGGATATTCATAAGAGATAGACATATACCATCAGATTCTGTAGACCTTGTCAATGTGTACAATACTTAGTACATTATTTTGAAAAATCTCGTAGGGTTCAGCCTGCGTTTGCAATGTAAGCGGAAAAAATGTAATTATTTACGTCATCACATTAGGAACCGCATCAAAATACGTTGCGTAGTTTTAAAGATTTAAGCATACATAGGGACAGAGAAAGCGACTTTGTTTTATACTATTTAGTGATTATCAGGGGATTTAAAGACAATTGATATATATATATACATCTGAATTGATCGCGGCCCTGCAGAAAGGTACTGAGATGGTGTTCGTATTGCTTATCTAAACGGATATAATTAATGGTATAAAATGAACAAAAAACCTAGAAACTAGATGTCTGCTCCCGTCATATTTCAAGCAAGTACTAAGCTAGCACTAGGCACTTGTAGATAAGTATGAAATATTTCGTATACTATGAAAATAGGATTACGATTAGGAATAGTTTATTGGTTAAACTATTTAAGCATAAATAAATTTTAATTCCAATTTATATAAAGTAAGAATAAAAATGGCTTTTAAAGTCCCATCGTAGAATATAAAACGTGATTCCTTCTAAAAGCGGTCACCTTTTTAAACATTAATGCTTTTATATTGAGGTCGCATAGGTAAGAGGTCTCAAATTGATTTTACGTGTCTAATTTCCTTCCCGACAGCCTTTATGTATAAGCTACCGGAATTGGAATCAAATCTATTTCTGTCATGTGACTTCACTTGTCTTGTTTATTTTAGTTCTATAGTTCTAGGTCTTAATTGATTTTGATAATTCAATTTTGGGTTTTAAAATCTTATTTGTTTTATTTAAGAGGATAGCGTTTGGTAATTACCTCGATGATGTAATAAATTTTGTAGATCTGACTAGACATACTATTACCATTATACCTAGTTTTACATAATATATTTTAGATTTTAACCAAATCATATCTTTATGACAATAATTAAATTGTTAGACTTTCGAAAGTGTATATTCCGTTAAAATGCTTATAAATCTAAGTTTCCGTTATAAAACACATTAATTAGTTTTATACGACATTTATTACTGTATATTTTGCTTCAACTTTGAAGATAAACGAAATTTATGAAACTCCAATCAAATATTTGACATCATAGATTGAATTAAAAACTTTTATTTCACGCGAGTTAACTTTGTATTTATAACAAAACTAAAGCTGGGTATGTTATGTTATGTCATCAATATAAATCAATAATTTAATTGGTTTAATTCATACACTTATAATATACGCTGTTTATTTAAAAAAAAAGGGTGCGTGTACTTATGTACGCGCGTAAGAAGTTATACTTCTTTGGCATTATTAAAAATAGTTTTTGATTGCATGCAAATAATTAATTACAAATAAATAATCAAAGACTGGAAAAGGAGTCATTATAGTCAATAAAGTTCAGTTTACATTTGAAAAATTAAATAAATAAATATTTATTATTATTATTCTCTTACATTAAGTGTAACATAAATTCTATTATTTAATGCCGTAGAATCTTCCGTGGGCAACTTCATTCTGTTAATTTTGTGTCACGGTGCGCGCGTATCGTAAAATTTCACTCTCATCAATTTTTCATAACGCGCCTAAAGAAGTATAACTTCAAAAATATATTTGCTACAATATTTTCCGTACACGGGAATAGCATATTTGACTTAGTGCATTTTATGCTGAATAATATTTCATATCATATTAGTACGAAACCCGCTCGTTTCGTTCAATAATTAATATTATGTACGCCGTACGGTTCTACTAGACAGAGATAGAACGATTGTATAAATATACTCCATTCCTTTTCAGCTCAATACTATCTATGTTTGCGTACTCCATTGGCAAGGAAATAATGTCGTTTGCCAAAATAACAACTTCCCGATTGAAAATGGTGCTTAAATGGAAAAAATAGATTCGTTGATGCTACCCAAAACGTCACGATATAACAGAAACTTATTTGGCAATTATAAAAAAAAAACGTTTTGGCAGCTCTTATGGAGGAAGTTTCCTGGAAAGCGCTACTTGCCTTGGTCTATTTTAATTACAAAAAACACTTAATACCTGAGTTAAATATAAGAAATAAAATATAATATTAAATGAACAATAATCTCATTGATCTTATAACTCGCAACGTGCTCGATAAATAGAATATCCAATAAACTATTATTTTTCAAATAAAACGAAGACGGAGTTTTTGAGTATACTAGATAGTAATCATAAGTAAAACTTAGGTAATTTTTGTAAATTCTTACATTGAATGACACTACAGAGTAACTTGATTAATACATAATATATAGTCCACGCGAATAGTCGAACAACACTCTTAAAATATTCCTTAGTAATACAAGACTTGGCAACAAATCTCCCAGTATATTTGAATAAGTATGGGATAAATATTATTTATTAAGATGATAATATTTCAAAATCATTTTCGGAACACAAACAATGGCTCATTTAAAGACAATTTTCTTCTATGGGTGTTTTAGAATAAAATACTTTCGAATATTTAAATAAATATATTAAGTTGAAAAACACATTTGTTTTTTAAATATCTGTCTTTAAAATAAATAAAATAATTTACAATGCGGATAGCTAATTTATTTAACGCCTCGCACTCGAAATGAATGGCACATTTTTAACTATCTACCAACAAAATGTTAGATTCACGCGTAATTGAAAGCCTGTTTCTGCTATATCAAGAATGCGTTAGCGTTTTGAACAGATATAGACTAAAACCACATTTTTATTCAATTTACCAATCTACAACTTCGCTTGCGTGAAATTGCGTATAATTTCCTAAAAATTCATGTATTAGAAAATCACGGTTAGAAGTGATTTGAGTAATCTATTTAAGTAATATTTAAACCTTTTAATATAAAGCTATTATACCATCGTTTATTTAAAACTGATTAAACAGTACAATCGGAACTACTTTCCCGATTTATATGTATCAAAAACAATGTTTTTTCAGCGAGTAGACTCGTAGTAATAAAATTAGACGATAAGTATGCTATAAATTTTGACTGTAAAATGTTAATACTTTTATAAGCTACCCGCATTATGCAATAATCATATAAACATATATCTCATTAAATACATTTATTTATATCTATAAAAACAAATAAAATATTAAATAATTAACGTTTACTAAAACGTGCATTTCTATCATAAGGTCAGTTATTTGTTACTTTGTGTAAAATTCATTTAATTATTCTTCCTTCGCCAAATTTTTCAAAACGTGAAACTACTTGTCCTGACTGCAGAGCTTACGTCACAGGGTTAGAAACTTAAAATATGGTCATACTTATCGCATGGACTAACAACGTTAACACGTAATAAATAACAAAGCCGGATTAAAAGTTTTTTTTTTAAATCGTTACTATAAATTCTTTCACTTTATATATGTTAACGTAAAATTGTAAACACCGTTAGATTGTAATCTATCTCGCGAGATTATAAACTGTCGAAAGATTGTGAACCTAGCGTACTGCTTACAATTTAACGTATTATTATTCGGTAATTGTAATCTATGAAGTGAAACCGTCAAATTGTGAACGGATCATCTTTGAATATGCCCGCCACCATATTTGTTTGTTAATTGTTTGTTGTCGAATGTAAAGATGTTTGATGAATGTAATATGGTTGAAAGTAAGTTTAGAATTAGTTAAGAAATTGTTGGGAAGTAAAATAATTGTGATTACAAAGAAGTTTGAATGATAACTAGTAGTGTTAGAAATGAAATAAAAAAATTTATTAGTTGGGGGCATATTCCGTTCACAATACGGGAGGTGCGATGTTTCAAATTTACTTATGATAATTACAATTACCGAATAATAATAGTTAAATGAGTTTTGAGGTTACAATCTTTCGACAGTTTACAATCTCGCGAGATAGATTACAATCTAACGGTGTTTACAATTTTACGGTGACATATACAACATAATCTTTTACACACTAAGGGTAAAACAAAAAGGCAAAAGGCATTGAAGTACTGGTCGTTCTCAACCCTCAAGTGGTTAAATAATGTTTTGTCACGTTTCAATTAAAAAATAAAACGAGGGTAATATTAAGGTTGGTAATACATTTATAAATTAGACTGGTTTACAGTAAACTCAAAAAGCCTCAAAAGGGCTTTAAAATCTGCTGTTTTATATTATAGATACAATTATTTTTCAGCAATTATTAATTATGTTTAAACTCCGCTAAAAGCCGACGGCAGTTAAAGCTTTACGGTTTAAATAGGCATTGCTGGCTCTCATCTCACAAGTGGACTTGCAATAGAGCCTAGCAAAAACAACTTGAATTCACTAGGTTTATTTTTTATACGGTATAATAATTCGAGCTTTAGGCTTATCATTAATTATTTTATAACAGTTAAATTTATTGTAGTGTAACGACTTAAAACGATTTATTTTATTGGATGTTATTGAACTATTTTCGTACCTAGGAAGAGTCAAAGCACAGGAACGGTGTAGTGTCTGTAAAACAATGCAATAATATAATTGAATGAATGGAATGAATTAAATTGGTGGAAATAATATAGTTTTTTAATAATTATTGATTTTTTTAAATAATTATAAAACTCAACAAACAAGCTTAAATACTGAAGGTTTTTTTTATAAATCGCTTGGTAGATTGATTGACCAAGCTATTGGTTTGTGGACTCAGTTTCCGCACTTAGACTCTCAACGGGTCTGTTGTGCGTAATTTACCAA